AGGACGCAGCAGCTTCAGGAGTCCCTGGAGAAGGCAAAAAGTAAAGGGATTCTGCCTCAGGGCCTGGAGAGTCTGCACAATACCCCTACAAAGTCTGACCTCAAGGTAGGAAAACGCACTTCTGGATGATTTATTGATGTGAGCTGGAAATACACCATATAAATGCGACGCATTGTGTTCTTCAGGAGTTCTTCCGCTCCCAGCTGAAGCAGGCGGAGGTGAGCTCAGGTGTGGAGCTGCCCAACGAATATGCACTGATCCCTTTTGATACCTTCACCCTGCAGACGTGAGTACAGCTGTGCAGTCAGGCCTCCATCAGAATAAAACGAGAGGCGTTTAACCATGTGCCAGACCTTTTCTCCAGATGAACAAAAACAGAGCTGAAGTTATCTTTGGACCAAAAGGGGAGCGAATTAAAATCGGCGTCATTACAGCTAGAAACCAGAGATCAGCCCTGAAATCTGGGAATAGTGATGAACTCTGACCTGAACTGGCTTGTTTCACAGTTGGTGTCTGTACTGAAACATGCTGCACAAATGAACATGACGTAACTTTCCGGCGCTGCTCAGGGTTTACCAGCTGGAAACGGGGCTGACGAAGCATCCGGCCGAGAGACCCGCGAGGAGAGACCGCAGAGACGAGCTGATCGAGACGGTGGAGACGGCTCTGCACGTCCTGAACGGACCCCAGCAGCATGCAGACGACACCAGGAGGAAACGCACCTACTCCCCTTCAGACTTCATACAGGGTGAAAACTATGGATTCAAGTCACTGGCATAAAACACAAGACGACAGAAAATACTGCAACACAAAAATCTGCTTTTCCACTTATTTTATATGTAACCAACATGCAGTGTTTAGCTAAAAAAAAGAAATATTATCGTATTGAAGAGAAAATTGTGAGTTTTCTTTTGCATGGAAACCAAATCTGATGTAACCTCACTTTATAGGTCTTGGATTTCCTTTAATTGACAGAGAATTCAAATCTTTAAGTCTGAACATCTATAGACAGAAAGCATCTCTAGAGAGCACACATCTAATGTGCTAATAGTGGAGCTAATTTTGGGTTTTAGTGCTTTAGCATTCGAAAACATTTAGCTCTAGTAGTTTCCCTAATTTGGTTTTCTGAAAAATTCTAACCAGCTCATTAAAAACTTGGAGGTTCTGCATAGAACATATTAGAAAGAAAATAGATTTTTATCTTAAAAGCAAAATGCGTATATTTTTTGTAATTTGGCTTAATTATTTGTCAAAGTATGCATGCCCCAGTGAAGAATCGGTCGTTTATCAAACTAGTTGACGATTCTGCAACCAGATTAATCCGATTAATCGTTTCGGCCGTAGTTCCTTACAAAAACCCGACTGTTACATGAATCAGTCTTTAAAATCTCCCTCAGGAGTGAGTGTGTGCTTGCATTGTTGCCCCTGGGATCTGCGGAGGATCTGCGGAGGAATATTTTGGTTTTTGGTCTCAGGTTTGACTCGCACGGAGCGGACCAGAGGGACCGTCTATGAGCTGACGTTCAAAGGCGACGGCCCACAGAACTTCGCTCAGCTCGTCCTCTTCAGGCCGTTTGGGCCTTTGATGAAGGTGAAGAGTGACAGTGTGAACACACACGGCATCATCGTCAATATAATCGTGCCGCTGTCCGGGAGAGTGGACGCCTTCAAGCAATTCATGAACAACTTCAGGTAACGTCTGGAGGCGGACCAACAAAACTCTGGTGGGAAACTGTTGACCTGAGAGATCTGGGTCAAAGCTCATTTCTACCAATGAAGAAGTTAAGGAAAAAATGTTTAAATGTGGTATAAATGTGTTCTTGTTTTGTTTGTTTGGTCCAGGGATGTTTGCGTCCAGCAGGTCGGCCGGGTTCACCTGACTGTGGTCTACTTTGGCCGAGATCAGATCGACCAGGTGAAGGCTGTGCTGGATCAGATCACCAGGTAATGCTAACATCTAGGGCTGGAAATAATGACGATCAATTACTCTATTCATTATTTTGACAATTAGTGGATTTATCGGATGAAAAAATTAGCACATTCTCCAGCTTTCTCAATAACCCACTACATCATGTATGCATTTTTGATTTGATCATCTGCAGCAAATGATGCATCTGCAGCTTAAACAATACTTCCCACATCAACATGTGAAAAGTTCGTCCGTTTCTGCTTGTGAAGGGCCGATCTGGTTATTTATGGGTTAACCAATAAAAAACTGAACAGCAAAAGGTGCTTAATATCTTTTTTTTTAACTAAATTTTAACCAGATGGAGCTAAAACTATGCTGGAGTTCTGGGTAAAAGAAATCTTAAATGCAAAATGTTTACATTTTTTTGTAGTTTTGGTTTAATTAAAGCTCTGAGCTCATTTAGAAAGCGTCACTTTTTTGAGTCTGAATCCTCCAGTTAACAATTAATTACTAAATTACTTATTTCATTTCATGTTGGCATTCAGAAGCTAATAAAGATGGAAGAGAAAGCCTGAGTACGCACAAGGAAATGAAAGCCTCGCAGCTGAGTAATTGAGAGGCGACGGCAGACGTTTTGTCCTGTGTCTCAGGGAGACTCGGTTCAGGAGTTTCACCCTGATCCAGATGAACGAGGAGTTTTCTCGCGGCCGAGGCCTCGACGTCGGCACCAGGGCCTGGCGACAGCGGCAGAACGTCCTGCTCTTCTTCTGCGACGTCGACATCCACTTCACATCAGACTTCTTGACTTCCTGTCGCTGGAACGCAGAAGCCGGTGAGGTCGTGTCGCTCGTTTCGCATCAATCGCTACCCATAATGCTTTATTGCATTGTTCATTGTTTCAGGTAAAAAAGTGTACTACCCTGTGCTCTTCAGCCAGTACAACCCATCCATCATCTACAGCAATCACACACACATGCCCTCTATAGAAGAACAAGTGGTGGGTGAAGGAGCAACGTTTTGACTCTGATGGAGAAAATGTAGATAGATAGAGGCTGATTTAAACCTTTTCCTTCTGCTTCAGGTGATAAAAAATGAAAATGGATTCTGGCGGGACTTTGGATTCGGCATGACATGCCAGTACCGATCAGACTTCATCAATGTTGGTAAGGCACACCCACATGTTCATAGATTACAGAAATACTGAAATACCTTTAATAATTGTACATGTTTTTCATCAATTTTCTGCCTAAATTAATTGTAAGAGAGGTAAGTAAATTGTTATCGATTGTTTTTCATCATGAAAACAACTGAAAATCTACGGTAGAAATATGCTTTTAGTCTCGGAGTTTGTTTTTCTTTAAGCTAAAGGAGATTACTTCATATTTTTGGACACTTTCAGCTGGCAAAAATATGGCAAGAACTGAGAATATATTAGAATAAATAAAACATTTTCATAATTTTATCAGAGATTGGAAAAACAACAACCCATAATTAAAAAAATACTTCAAAAGCGTACACTTTAAACTAATTTGAATAATTAACTGATCCCACTGTAAAGTTTAAGTAGGATCAGTAGAATGTAAGATTGAATTGAAATAAATTATTCCTTTGTAACGCGAGACATTTGTTGTGGATTGGCAATATGTAAATAAACTAAATTGAACTGAAGTAAAACAAAATGCAAAAAGGACAAAACCTTTCAATGACCTGTTATCTTTAATATCTTAAAAATTATTATTATGGTTCCACAAAAACATTTGTATCACAATCGAAACACAAACGCCATTTTAATGACTAAACTTAAAATAAAATAAGTCTTTTACTGCATCTGAACATTCAATAATATGTCCACTTTCTAGACAAAAATGTATATAATTTTTGCTGTATACTTTTCATTCAAACTCTAAAAACATTGGACTGTAAGATGAGGTAGAAACTACATATCGACATCGTTTATTTTTGTATTTTTACATCATTCTGTACATTTTCTGCTCTGGAAGAGACCAGTCGCTGTTGTCTGAGGATCACAAGGTTTATATTTAATTTAATAACGCATCAGATTGTTCTACTCTCGCTGACAGGTGGGTTTGACCGCAGCATCAGGGGCTGGGGGCTGGAAGACGTCCACCTGTACAGGAAGTATCTCCACAGCAAGCTGATGGTGGTTCGAGCTCCGTCCAGAAGCCTCTTCCACCTGTGGCACGAGAAGAGCTGTGCGGACGAACTTCCTCCAGACAAATACAAGATGTGCATGCAAACCAAAGCCATGAGCGAGGCCTCTCACGGCCAGCTGGGGGCGCTCTTCTTCAAACAGGAGCCAGAGCTCCACCTGAACTCCCAGAAGCAGAGCAAAGAGATCTGATGCGGACATTCAAAGAGCATGTAAAGGCCAAACGAAGGCTAAAAGCTTCCATGCTTTTATTTTGGTAACATTCTGTATAATGTCTCTGATGGAGACAGTTAACCTTCTTAACAGAGAAGGTTAACTGCAAAAAAACAAACAGGTTAATAGCAAGAAAAACGCATAAAAGGCAACATGAATTTAAGCTTCTGTCAATAAGGGAACAAGGTAATGGCGATTGAAGTTAAAAGTTTTTTTTATTTTGTGAATCATTCTTTTTATGAATGATTCATGAAAATAATTATATCAATGTAACGATTCACTAACAGTACAAAAACAATTGTGATTTTTATTTCTCTTGTTTAGCTCTTACAGGGGTTGATTACAAGCATGGCTTTAATAAATCATTTCACCATATATGTATATTTACATATAAATATATATATATACACTCATTATGTATATTTGAAAGAGAGAAATATTCAGTTTAATACAATACCAAGCATGAAAATAAATAAATAAATAAAAACAAGCAAAACAACACTCAGGTTATTTTTTTGGTTAGGTTTATTTAAAAAAAGTCAAATATACAGTAATATATATATATATTTAATATAATTTAAATGCTCGTAACTGAAAGGGATGGCGACTCAATAGAAGGTGTGAGAAGCTGCTGTGGACATTGATGTGAAATGTTTACAGTGCGAAGTTAACAGACAGGATGAACAGTATTCAGAACACATTACATTCATTCATCGACTGGATGAAATCAGCAATACGACGGGGAGGGGAGGCGATCAGGGCTAATGACACCTTGATAACACTTTAAGCTGGTATAGAAGTATATAAAAATAAAGTAAAATCTGGCAGCTGTGGTTGTTTTGCAGCAGGTTTTCTGTTTGAATTTGACTGGTTTTTTGGTCTACAAGCGGATATATAAGCACCTAATTCTTCCACGCAGCGCGGTGTGAAGCATCTTTCATTTATTGCACGGCACGATCACACCCTGAGCTCTGGAGGAGGGGGGAAAAGCAACAGCAGCTTTCTGGCAAAGGCACAGTCACTCTCCCAGGAATAATAATAATTATCAAAAAAAGACATTAACTAAGAAGAGCGAGAGAGGATACGAGACTGGTGCTCAGAATAGTTTTCTTCTCTTTTATTTTTTGCGTTTACCGTTGCTCTGCTTTAGCAGAAATGAAACAGAGGTGACGAAGGAATCTGTTCAGACACATAAAGGCAGGAAGACCAAAAACAACCTCGTTTTTGTTCCCCTTAAAAGATGTCAGTCTAGATCACAATAACACAGGACGCAACAACCATTAAGTAAACCAACAAATGTTAACTTTGGTAGAAAAAAAAAAAAAAGATAAAAAAAAGAAGCTGGTCTATTACTACAAAAACTATCAAAACCAAGAGGAAAAAACGAAACAGGAAGCTGCAGAGAAAGACACACCAAACTTTAGGCGTAAGTTTACTGTGAGCAAATGTAAAATAATCTGCGGGAGTTAGTGTTAAAGCAAAGTTAGAAGATCCCAAACTCATCCCGCCGCGAGTGGATGTGAAAGTTACAGATAATCTTTGACTTCTCTAAAGTTTGGGATGGAGAATGACGGAGAACGCTGGGTTTTGGTTAAAGGCTTCATTCACTAAAACGCACACCTGAGTTGCATATTGTGGTCAAAATTATGGTTTTAAACCTTTCATAAAGGCACCTTTAATTATTAATGTTAGTGGTTCTGCAACATCCCACGCCACATTTAAACACCTTTCGAAACTCTGTTTACAAAACTTTCCTTTTAAAAACATATAATAATCGATTAGAAAATACATCTAGTGTAAAAAAAAAAAAAAAACATGACTCTTTGCAGCTCTTTTGGTTTCAGCTGCTATGGTGAAGTGAGAGAAAATACAAAGAATTAATGCTGTAAGTGTAAAAAAACGTAAAGCTAAGACATAACGCTGCTACCAGAATGGAGGAAGGTGCCTGAAACTGGGGAGGGGAAACGTCACCGAAAACCAAACGTCTCTGTTGGAAAGAGGACAAATCATGTGGACTCTCGATTCAGTCCAATCATTGTTTGTGTCTGGAAGTGCTGCGGAGTATTCCCTCACCGTATGCCACAAAAACAAGAAAGTGGAGTCAAGTTCTTCACGGATTGTTTAGCGCTATTTAGGGGACGAGACGAACGCTCGCCCCTTAAATATGTGAATATAGCTGGATCCTGCTGCCCTCGACGCCCTCCAGGCTGACTCTGATTTGACATTATAATTTAATAAACATGGAATAATTTATGCAGCGCCTCGAACAAATTTTTTAGTCCAGGTAAAATCAACTTCTTTACGGAAAAAGTCGTAAAATCCTTCCATAAAAACAAAACGAACAAAGACACGTTAAAATTAAAAGATGTAGTTTTAAAATGACGAGTTTTCTAATGTTAAATCTAGTTTAAAATGCTAATTCTGTAATCATTTATCTATTTTAACATGTTAGTTTACAAGCTGCTGATGTAAATAATGACGAGTCAGCAAATTAGTGACGTTCAATCAGACGAGAATCTAGTGTAGAAATGAAGACATTGCTCTTATTTCCGTTCATCTAACTCTGCAAAACAGTGAAACGTTTCACCACTAATGCATAAGCGACGTATTGGACAGGTGAGATTAAACTGATCGAGTGATTTCTAGAAGAATAAACAGCTTTCTGTCAGAAATGATCATTTCTCAGGTTTCTGCAGCAGAATGTGGAGCCAGCATTATGGCCAACGTTAAAATCCAGATTTGAACATTTTCTAAACTTTCACTGTCACTCCAGTTTGTTTGATTTTGTGGCATTTTCTTTTAATTCATCATCATTTTGGTGACATAATTTCTTTACGGTTCGCTTTGCTCATCTCACATCCAGACTCGGATCACAAACTCAGCTTCAGCCGACATGAAAATCCCGAATCCTGTTTCTTCTTTTTAACAGCGATCTAGATTCTAGAACTACCTCTTTTCTCCTTTTTAGTTATTTTCAAAAATTTTTCTACAAAAGATTGAGTGTATAGAAAAAATACACAAAGTGTACAAAGTGCACTGACACTGATGCGCACTTAGATGCTTAATAATGCACAAAGAGGAAGAGCAGAATTTGATCCCACGAGGAAAAAAGAGCGCAGCTTCGTTTGTGTCGAAAGGTGGAGGCTTTCCTCCGCTTTGGGAACTTTGTGCGGAAAGTTCATGCCCTAAGTTTTCCCAAAAGGAGCGCAAAGTGATTTCCCATCGTTTCAGAAATAACATCAAGTGCACTAACAAGAAAATCACAACAGGTGTTAATAAACTTTCTCTCTTTCGTCGATCGAAAACAAGATTAATCATCGTCGTCAACACTCTTATTAAAGTCCAAAAATACATTCATTGTGGACACTGGAGGTTCTGAGGGTGAGGCAAACTTGTTCTTTTGCGTATTTTGCATTTGTCCGTCTTGTTTGGATTCGTTCCCTCGTGTTCGTTGGCTTCGTTCTCATCCCGATGAAGGCAACGCTCTTCATTCGAGCGATCGCTGTGACCGCGTCTTCACCGAGGGGAGGGTCAGAGCAACATGTACTGGTTGTCTATCGCCCGCTTGCGACCGCGGTCGGGCTCCAGTTCGTAGTCCGAGTCCCGCTGAGGGATGATGGGAGTGTGAGGGTTGGGGTTGCGCAGCAGGGGCCGCCTCCCCACCGACTCGCTCCGGCGCAGGTGGGCGGGCGCCGACGGCGCGGCCTCCGGGTTCGGGACGGCGCGGCCAAACTGGGAGAAGGAGCCGGGGCCGGAGGTGGTGCCGGTGGGGGACGGGGCGAAGGCGGGGGGCTGGCTGGAGCTGCGAGCCAGGCTGCAGCGAGCCAAGCTGGGCTCAGAGCTCCACCGATGGAGGGAGAAGGGGACGAGGAGCGCGCCGGGGAGCTGGCCTGAGGAGCAGAGACAGGAAATGAGCCGAGGAGTCAACGCATCACAACGCTCATCATTTATTGTGATAAACAGCTTAGAGGAATTTTGATTCATTGTTGTCATGATAGTTTAAAAAACCCCAAACTGTCCACATAATCATCAGGATTATTTGTTACTGGTTTCTCAAAATGTGGGAATGTTTGTCAGGAACCGTGTTTGTCTTTAGGAGGTGGTAAAAGCTCCGTCATGACGGCGCTACCTAAAAGAGGTGAAAATACGTTTTATCGCCATTGTATCGCTAAAGGAAGGCTGCATTATTACATTTTAGACAATAAGTTGCCTATTTATTATTTTAAATGTATTTATTTGTATTTTTTAAATCTATTTCTAATACCGTATATACAACTTTAGTTGAAAAAAAATTCAGAATAATTGACAGACTAATTTATTGATAAAATAATTGGATTTCATAATGTCTTGTATTTTAACTTTAACTTTTTCATTTTGACAAACTTTAATGCATTTTATTTGAATTTTATGAATTAGTTCTCTAGGGACATATGAAATCAGCTTGATTATTTCCCAAATTCTACTGATTTTTATTTTTTTAAACTTCATTTTAACTATAATTATTAAGCCTGTAAAAGCTACTTTACATGTTATATTTCTGTATTTTAGACTTTGAAATGTTTATTTTCTTAATTAAATTTCTTTTAAAAATGGTTATTTGCATCTTTTAATTCGTTTCTAATATAGTATAAAAAGGATTACAGGGTTAAATTAAAAACCAATTTATTTTATCCAACTGATTGATAGAATGATTGATTATTGTAAGAGTTGCAGCACATGTCCCAGCCTGTAATGGATATTAAATAAAGTCATTATTGAGAGGCTAACCCTGTGAGGGGGGAGTGGACCCGGCCAGGACAAAGCTGGACAGCGTGACAGCTCCGGCTGCTCCGCACTCCAGGGGGATGGGGTAGAGGCGGAAGTGGCTGAGCATGTCCATGACGGAGGGGAAGCGCAGGTGCTGCACCCTGCATTGACCCCATTCGTTCAGAGAGAGGCGCAGGTGCTGCAGGAGGAAAAACAGAAAAAACAACCAAACTCTTATTTAAAACATGAAGAAGAAGAAGCAGCAGCGCGTTGTGCCTCCAGCTGCAAACGTTCAGCCGTGTTCACCTTTGCTTTTCCCTGGTAGTTGAACGTGAGGACGAAGTCTCCTCTCCGCGTCTCGCTCTGCCGGACCAGAAACACGCCGTGGCCTTCGGGTCCGGAGCTCTGGACCAGGTGGGCTGCCTTAACTCGAGAGATGGGGCCATGAAACCAGGGGAAAGAAACCAGGAAGTCGTCGGCCTTATGGATGACCTGCTCAGGGAGGGCGAAGGTGACGGGGCCTGGAGGGGCAAAAGAAATGAAAGAATTTTATAATAAATGTTGATTTTTTTAAACCTGAGAAAATGGAGGAAAAGCACCCACATTATCAGAGGAGCTACTTACTCTGACGTCCTGAGTCTGAGCTCCTCCTCTGATTGGCTGGAGCAGAGCTGTCAGCTGAGGACAGGGGGCACTCCAGATCCACACTGCCTGACCTGAAGGGGGCGACACCACCATTCAAAACCACTTTACACATTTAGTTTAAACTAATTGTTACTTTGAAAAGTTTTTAGCAACAGTTTGAAGTGAAGCAGCTGCAGGGTTTCCCTCAGTGTATTATAAGCCTGGCGGGCCACCAGGCTTTACTTGTGCACCCGCCAGGCTTAGGATTGCTCATTTATTTATTTATTTTTTAAATATTGCCTTTTTTAAAGACTTTATAGTTTGTGTTTAGCTATTAATTTAGCTAACTGTGATACTGAAAGGTGCTAAAACTGGTCGTTTAAAACTGGACAACAAAAATGCTACATCATTTTATTGTACTTTTTGGTGATTTCAACATGCAATATTTTTATAAAACAAAGTAGAAAAGATCAGCAAAACATCTGAAACATCAGATGTTTTCCTTAGTGAAAGAATGGTGTACAGGTTTTTAAGTTTTCTGGTCGAATGTTTCTCTCGTTGTTGGTTAGAAAATTATTTTTCGTCCAATTTCAGCAACAAAAATGAGATCTTTCTGCTAAAGTCATTGCTGTCTTTAGACAAGTTTACCAACAGGTTTGATGAGTTAAAAGTTGCTGGATGTTATTGTAAAAACCAAAGTAAAGCACACGACTAATAACTGTTGGAAAAATACTTTGTGTTGTGCTGAACATTTTTAATTTAAGAAGAAGTATAAAAAGCATTCATCTGCATCCATTTATTGATCGGTCAAATTGATACTATTTTAAATCTGCAGTCGAGGCCAAACAATGCCACAATTGGGTCAGGGGTCGTGCTGTGCACACACCTGGTGGTTTAGGTTGTTCTGTTCAGGAATAATATGTAAAAATGTTCAGAGAAAAACCTTTAAAACTATAAATCAAGATCGCTTTAAAAGATCACAACAAAATCTGGACTCTTGGAGGCAAAAGAGAACCACTTATAAAAAAAATTAGGTGATTTAAAACTTCTGCACAGTACTGCATGTGTATGTGTGTGTGTGGGGGTGTGTTGGTGTGTGTGGAGCTTGGTGAATGTGGAGGAAACAGCAGGCGGCTGAAGAAACACAAAGACACCGAGCACAGACAGGAAGTTGGTCCAGTTGAGATCTGAACTGAAACCCACTGTTCTTCTGTTTCACCGCGCTCACACACACACACACACACACACACACACGCTGCATTGTGTGTGTGTGTGTGTGTAGCTGCACAGACGAGAGTGGGAATGTTAAATAGGGAAGTAGGAGAAAATCCTGTGTAAATGCTGACTTGACTTTGTGGTGCTCTGAATAACAGGAAGGCGAAAGTCTCCTTCTGCCTCGCCAAGTGCGTTTGTGTTTTTGTCCTCCTGTCTCCGGGACAATTTTTGTCCTCTGTCTCAGTGAGGACGGTTCAGTCAGGCTGCAAAGCTTCGAGGATTTAAAAGAGAAACGTCTTGACGTTAAAGTTTATGCTATTTGTCTACCTTTAAATCATTTGTTCGCATCAGTCGCCTCACAGAAGTCAATTGTGCGATTAAATGTCGTTTTGCTTGACGTATAATTTAAGTCTTAGATGTTATAAACCTCAATCTGTAATGCTGAGGGTTCAGTGTCTCAATATGAAAGACTTTATGCAGCTGAACGGAAGAGAAATCCAAAAAATGCAGTCATGACTGATTTTCATATTAATGGGAAATATTTATGATGTTGATTTTTATCTCGTCAATAAATTTACAATCTGTAAGTCTTAAAGTCTACATTCTAACAATATAAGATTTTATACATTAGGCAAAATAAAATAACGTATCTACTTTCCCTTAAAGCTATAATATTAAAAACGATTTAAATGATGACAAAACAAACAAAAATAACATTTTAAAAATCTACTTTCCCTTACCAAGTCTCAAATTCAGAAAATACAAAGTTAGAAAAAAAATAGCTAAATAAAAATCATAAATAATTTAAAGCCTTCTTTACCAGTCTTAAAACAGGAACAAAATAAACAATTATAACTGACTAAAAATCTGCTTTTGATCACAAAATTCAAAGAATATAAACAATGATAAATGAAGATGCAGATATTTTTAAATGGTTATTTTTCCACCAGATTTGACAAGGTCAATATAGTAATACCCTGACTCTGTCAGTAGGGGGCGTTAATGACCACTTTAACTGAATCTAAACTCAGAAGAACATCCTGAGCTTGACAAAATAAGAATCTAAAGTAAAAAAAACAATAAATAAAAGCAGTAATGATCCTCCCAAAACGGTAGATCAAGTTGTTTACACTTTCCTGTCATTCAGTTTCTTCTTCAGCAAAATTAAAATGCATATAACTTTGGTTTAAAATAAAGGATTTTGATGAAGTCAGATGCTGAAAACATTGGAATAAAAATGTTTTCAGTTTATTATTAGGAAGAGAGTTATTCTCTTTTTGCTTTTGGGCTTCTGGATCCTCACTTTTCTGACTCTCAATCAGATCTAGAACCAGCACCGTTTCCTCTCCTTCCAGCTCCAACAATCCACTTTTTATAACAGACACTGTTCAAAGGTTTAAACTAAATACTTTTCTGCAGAAATATTACAAACATAGCCGAGTTCAAACCTGCTCCAGTTTGCAGAACCACCAATCAAACCAATGCACAGACTAACGGACACACATACACACACACACACGCACGCACGCACACACACACACACACACTAGCATGTCCTCATGCACACCTTAAGAAGCCCTTTCACTTTGCAAACACATACCTCAGCATGAGTAAACATCCAACTCAGCCAGAAGAAGAAAAACAAGTTATTTCTGCTCAGAGTCTCAGGAGGGAAAAGGTGAAAGTAGGTGTGTGATGATGATGAGTGATGATGATGATGATGAATCCTTCTTTAAAAAACCATTTCATGTCACTTAACTACTTCAGTTCAACAGTAAACTCCCTACAAATATATCTATTTATTGAACATGAGCTTCAATTCTTTTAGAATCTGGTTTAAGTTTTACAGGCGAGAGCTTCAAGAAAATATTCTGATGGATTAAAAATAGAACATTTTTATACTCGATTCAGTGTTAATAAATTATTTTTGATGCTCCCTTTTCTAAAAAGAGAGATTGCAAATGACAGAAAATAGCTTCAAGACAGTTTTACTAAAAATGTCTAAAAAAATATGAGGAAAAAAAATAAAGTTACTTTAATAAGAAAAAAGTTGAGTTGAGAACCTGACATGATTAGCTCAGTTTGTGCAAAACTGAGCTAATCATTTCAAAGTCCTGACGTTGATAATAATTTGATACGGACACCTTAAAAGATTAAGTATTAAATATTTTTGATAAAACTTACACCCAAGTATAACTTCACAAGACTCATTTAAAAAAAATTTTTTATCTTTCTGTTGAAGTCATTATAAAATTACAACTTTTTTCTTATATTATGACCTTATTCTGGTGATATTAGGACTTTATTAATTAACAAAATTTAGTCTGGTAATATTTTGCATAACAGAGTTGATCAGAATTCAAAGTACAAATAAATAAAAGTTTTAAAACATGCTTATCAAACAGGATGGCATCATTCCAAACTATGGAAACCCAAAGATGCATTGGTGAAAAAAATCCACATTTGTTCAAAAACAAAAATTTGATTAATTGATCAAATTGATTTATAGCCCATATTGGACCTTAACTTGGATTTTGTCTCAACACCATGAATAAAACATCCCACAATCCTTTGCCGTCTCACATGACCAGAAACACAAACAGCAACAAGATGTAGATGAACATTGCTTCTTAATTTCACCCATCAGATCGATATGTTAAAAATCGATCAACATCGGTCGATAGCGATCTTTTCTCAATTACTTACAAACTCCTGAAATCAGAACAAATCCTGTGCTGTTATGCCCGTTTCCTGTTCACCTACTCCTATGACATTTTTTCCCTTCACTTAACTTTCCACTCATATCCTTGTATTCGGCATTCTGTGAAGTTTTATGAGGAATCGCCTTTTGTGGTTTAGCCTTCTCCATGATTTACTGGAGCATAAAAATACATTTCTGTTTTAGAAACCATCAGTAAATTTGAGATTCTCATAAAACAGAAGCAAAAATTAACAGAAATAAACACTGGAACCCTGCTGCTCTATTTGGATGAATCTATTAGTGATATAGTGATATTGAAATATTCCTGTAGATTGAAAATACAAGGAGTTTAACACTTGAAACTTGTCATTTTAATAATTAACTTAGGATTAAATTAGTGGGGAACATTTCTGAAAATATTACAGGCTTTGGAGGAGAGACCTTTGGGTCATAAATGTGGTGCGTTCAGGTGTTTCTCACCTGTTGCTGATGCATTCTTTTAGCTCTGTGGTCCAGGAGCTGACCTGCTGGTCGTTGTCCGTCTCAAATATCAGACTCCCTCGATTAACCTGCACAACCAAAAATGGAAACAAGTTGCGTCACATGAAAACAACGAAATGGGAAATGTGCTATAGGTGTGTAAAATATGCTTTATTCTAATTTATACTGGTACTTAAAGGTTAAAGCAGTTTGGATCAAGCTGAAATTTAGCCTCATAATTCGGTAAATATGTTTTGTGAAGAAGTTTTTTTAATTTTAAAATTCAAATTCAGAGATTTTCCAGTTGATTTCAGAGTCTTCTTACATATTTGCAGGGAAATGATAGCTTTTATTATCATTTAAAAATTCAAAATTAAGTAGCAGGGACAGGGAAAAAAACATTACATTTTTCCAACATGTTCACGTCTTTTCAATCAAACGTAATGATTGTTTTGCAACAACTAGATATCTTTCTACACAAAATGTGAGATTCCTTAATGCTTTTTAGGTTTCTAAGTAAAAATAAAAATGTTCAATATGAAGCGATGCAAGTTCTGGATGCATGTTGAATTGATGGATGGATAACAATCCATCCAAAAGGTGAAAACTCAGTGCTGTCAAACTCATTTTTGATTTGAATGTGTTGATAAAAACCTGCTAAACTGTTAAAATATCAATGATTTCTTAAAATTAAATAATATTATTGAACCTCTTTTCAGTCCTTCCAGGATTTGTGATTCTTTTTGTGATTTCTTTGCAATAAAATTTTAAAGCGTTTGTGGTACTAATTCGGAAATATTTGCACTCATTTACGACGATAAATGTGACTTTATTACTCGCTGTATAGATATATGAACTATAATCTCACATCAATTAAAGCTGAGGCAGCTTTTAAGAAAAGATTTGATCATTTTTGAGAAAAATCTGCCATAATCTTGGTGCAAAAAAAGTGGGAATTTCCACAATAATTCTCAAGAATCTGGAGGAACTGATTGATATAAATTGGCATTAAAAAGATAAAAACTACATTGATTTGATTGATAACATAATATTTAGGCACACTTAGTGTTTAGTGTAGAATCTACAGGGCCACATTAAAAGCTATAGCTCTTTGACTTTTTTTTTCCTTCTGATTTCGGCTCATTTGAACAAACAATCCTGAAGAAAATCTCAAGACCAAGATGAATACTTATTACTTATCGCTACAAGGAACAGACCTGGAGTGAAACCAACTTTACAAATATATACAGAAATGTAAATGAATGTCTGATAAATGTTAAAATAAAATCGAGCCTGCAGTGGATGCTTTGTGCGGCGAGTTGTGTACCTTTAAAACGAATGTGTTTAAGTTGTCGGGCATCTCCAGTCGGGTGCAGCGACGGACTTCTTGGATATCTGAGCAGTGAGTTGTCAGTTTGGGACATGAGGCCTGAAAAACAACAAAACGTCTTCATTATCCTCTGGACATTTATCTCACCGGGCGTTGCACGTCAACATTCGGAGTCGAAACGAAGGAGATGAGACAATGAGTGAAGAGAATAATGACTCTCCCGGGTGTAAACAGAAACATGTCTTTGAAGATTTTCAAAACAGAATGATCCAGGTCAGATGGATGCTGCAAAAAAATAAACATCTTCAGTGTATCAGGTAGACCAGACTAATAGACGTTAGGTTAAAGTTGACAGGAGATAGAGGTGGAGGAGTGTCCCAACACATAATTAATAAGAACCAGATGTTTGACGCCGAAGCTGTAAAACAGACGCAGTTTCTGTCTGATGCGTTTACTTGAACAAAAGTGTGACTGTGAATCCTCCCGCGGTCAAAAACAAAGCAGTTGGTTGTGTGAAGCAGAACCAGCGCCAGGGTCCGGCCTGCCAGCACTGAACTGTTTGTTTGAATAAAGTGATGAGATTTGAGGCCCGGTCATGGCGTCTGCTTCAGGGATGCTGGGATATTCTGACACGTGTCAAGAGAAAATGATCAGAGACATTAATGACTGTAATGCCATCTCTGCTCCTGGTTTAAAAACTAAATGATCAACCATGACAGGCAGTTTAAAGCTACGATGAAATGCTACAAATTAGGATTTTTATGCTTGTTTTATTGACACAGATACAGATCTAATGATTACTGCAGTAAAATGGCTCTATGACCTGAGAATGTTTTTGAGAAAATCCTTCAGTAATTTATATTTCTCTTTTTTTTGTCCCCACAAAATGTGTGAATAAAGTTACATTTTAGTTCATGAAGAAAGTGAAATGGGTATAAAGTTCAAGTTTGGTTAATTACCGTATTAATTCAATTGAACTTTACATTGATTTAGTTCTACAGACAATTTGTACCGTGACTGCAGCAGCTTCACTGTTACTCTTGAGAAGTTCCTCAGAAGAATTTCAAATATTGTTTCTGACTCATTGCATGGTTAGTCATCAGAGAAATAAAACGGCTGTAGATAAAAACAGTTTCATCAGGAACTGATGACAGTTGATGACGCCTGAGATAAGAATGTGGAAGGAAAAACAGCTGGCCTGTGGGTGATAGTTTCAATACAACGTGTTTCACGATATCGTCAAAATGGTGTCAGAAACGTTCCTCAGAAAATACAGCTATGATACATAATCCTTTGTAAAATACTTTCACCCTCCAAAAGAACTACTACCAATTTCAATTCAGGAAGAATAAAACTGAATTAATCGACAGATCAATTACTAAACACCAGAAGATAAATTCACATTTCTTTTTCAGCATTTGTATTCCCATGTTCTGTATTTAATATGACTGAAATTCACATGTAATTATACCTCTGGATCAGGTGTTATTTTTGTTTGGGATATTTAATCAAAACTGAAACTGTCAATGCTGCAAAAAGTATTTTCTTGTCCACCTTCACACACATTTCGACATGTCTGGCATTCGATCCCCAGAGTTTAAGTTGATATCGACCCGTCCTTTGCAGCTGCAACAGCTTCCACTCTTCTAGTGGTTCCTTTTCACAAGGTGAAGGAGTGCATTTCTGAGAATGTTTCAGAAGCCTAGTTCTTAGGTCACACACTGTTGTTGGACGGTCTCCAGCTCATTTCTAAGGCCATTTAAGTTCTTCTACACCAAATCGCTTCTGCTTTGACAACTCAGACACGGAAAAAAAAAAAAAAAAAAACCTACTGAAACACAGAAGTCTTTAAAAAAAAGCTAGTGCATTTTACGAATCGGGAGAACAACTTTTCTATATGTTTTGTCGGCACACGGTGGACTGGAGGCGCAAAGATCCATGTGAATACCAGTGACGGTGAAGAATCACATTAGAAATTGTCAGTCATGAGCGTTTAAATAAATCAGGGATTTTCTTGAAGGTTTTGTTGCTCTGTGTGCCAAATAATCAACTTTTTTTTTTGACTGTTCTTTTTTTTTTTAAAGCAATGCAAACCGAGGGCTGTCGTAACATGATGCATCAAAATGTCAGTGGAGATGACTGAAATAGGAAATAAAATTGTGAAAATATGCTCAATCTGCAAGGACTTTATGCAACAAATATTTAGGAGTTGACTTCAACTCTAAAGCATTTATAAAAGGTAATTTTTTTATAAAGATTATTTTACACATAATCTTTGAGCTACATTTGTGGAATCTGGATAACCGTAAATGTGGATTTTTGGCGGGTTTCCACAATGTATTATAAGCCTGGCGGGCCACCAGGCTTTGCTTGTACCCCTACCAGGCTTAGCATTGTTTTTTTTTGTTTTTTTTCCAATTATTACTTTTTAAGACTTTATAGTTGGTGTTTAAGTATTAATCTTCCAGTTTTTCCAATGACACATAACTATCAAGTGATATTTTCAAATTTCCTGTGAACTTTAAACATATTTAACTCACAAAGATGGCAGCCATTTGGATTACCGCCCTCGCGCCCTAAGCACCAGGCTTAGCAAGTTTTCTGGAGGAAACCTTGCACACCATAGCTACACACTGGGAGGATTAAATAAATATATTTAGTGAAATTTGGGAAAAAATAAAACAAATTTTTTTGGTTTTCACATCCATCTCATATACATATTTGCTACCAACCAGCATGTTGTTTGTAACACATCATCAAGTGGTTAAAAATGTGGCATCTTGTGAGATGAATGTATTTGACCTCTGATTCATTAAAGCGTACACTGCAAGTGGACCAGACCAAACCAAGAAGACACAGATGAGGGGATGAGCAGAAGCAGAAGGAAAAAGTCGAGACATGTTGGACAGGAGAGAGGGAGGGATGGAGAGCAGCGGAAAGGGCAGGGAGGACAGATTCCAGGGATTTATGCACCGGATGAGTTTGAGTCCATGTGACAGTGTGGGAGCCTGAGGAATGTGTTAATCCTGCACACATAAAAACACACAGAGGACGGCTCTCTCTGACACACACCTCAAAAGAACGATTTATGTCATCGTTTGTAACTTTCAAAGCTCTGTGATTCAACCACACGGACTAATATCACCAATAAGAGACAACGTGACGCAAAAACGAGGGTGTGCGTGACTCATTTAGTGATTTCTGAGTCAAAATTGGCTGCGAAAGCTCAATTTTAGTTCAGATTTTCAGGGAAAATCTTTGTTCTTGTTTCTGCAGATGTTGAAAAGTAAGAAACTGAACAAAAATAAGATTAAATCAACAATACAGTGAAAGAGGGAAAGTGATGTCTTCACAAAAAAACAGATAAAATTAGCCTTGCTGTTTAGAGATGCATTGCTAAAATTTGTTCCAATCAATTAAATAATTAATAATTATAATTACTAGTAATTATTCCCAAAATTAGCGACGTGCTACGAAGTCAAACACTATGATTCCAATTAGGACACTTGATTTTGAGGTTTGAAGTTTTAACATTCCCTCCAGACTTTATTTTTGTATTAACGTCTTTCTTCATGGGAGATTTAAATGTTTCACATATTTTATTCTTTTCATCTTTTCTTCAGGTTCTAAGAGATCCTCGTTTTGTTATATTTTATAAATATGTCTAATTTTAATAATGTCAGAAAACCACAATTTCCTGATTATTCAGTCAGCATTTAATACTGATGGTGCACCTTTCTTGTGACATTCAGAAGGAAACCCTGCATATTATTACAAATTTAGCGATTTATGTTATGGAAAGACAGTAGCCCCTCTTCATGCAAGAGAACAATCAGGTTTTTAGTCAATCAATTAACCAAGTCTAGATTAACTTTTTAATCAATACCTTGGATCCCTTGTTGTGTTGTTTACTTTTCAACATGTGCAGCATTTAATCTGCAGAGGGCGCCATTCCAAAATAATGCTGTCTAATTCTGGTTACCGATCTGAGACACGGAAACAGGACCAACCGCTAAACCTCGCATCCGACTAAATAAATCAGAAGCAGAACATTCATTCTGAAGCCGATGCTCTAATAAAAGTATCTTAAGTTGCAAAGTATTCAACTAATTGAGAAAACAGCAGGTAATTCAGAGCTGCGGCACAATCAACAAATGTGACCAAAATCTTTACCGTACCAATTGCACCGGATGTGTGACCTCTAATAAGACGCTCTGCTCTCATTCAGACTGAGCATCAGTCTGAGCCCAGTGACTCATTGAGGCGAGTTTATTGTAAAAATGTGAATGAGTTTCTGACTAGTAAGAGCATCTTTGAGAAACTGTTTGAGGCTGTGGAGGGACAGAGAAGAAAAGAGAGCAGAAGAACAAAAAAAAAGAAAAACTTTCAGCAGATGTCTGAGCGGTTGAGCAACAACCGGCCTGATTTCTGTGAATCAGCTTCATCAGGGGAGCTGAAGTACAAACTCACAGCATAGTTCCTATTACTGCAAACTGCTCTCTTTAATGGTCCCCTGAGGCAATGCACACAAAGACTCAAACACACACATCCTGAAAAGGCTGCTGCAGTTTTTTCCCTCTTTGCTCGTCGGAGACATATTTAAGATTATTTCAAAAAGATTATTTGCAAAAGCGATGACCTTGATGAAAAACTGAGTAAGTCTGTTAGAAATGCGTCCAGCCTCCAAACGAGATATAGAAAGCCATTTCTTAAACTCTTGACTGACATCAATTCCTGGTAAATGTTTGTCAGCCTCATGTTTGCATTGCTCAATGAGACCTAAAGAAAAAAAAACTGACGAAACATCACAAACTGTTGCAAGATGACCTCAAGACAGAAGAAACATAAAACCCAAAAAGTTTGAAAAGACCTACAGAGTAGGAAGGTATGAAGGCAAAGAGGCATAAATTATTGGCAAGCAAGCAACGGAAATGAGTAATACAGTCAAACATGGGATCCAAGCCGTCCTTTAGCAGTTCTGAATGTTTTTCCAGCAACGCCACCAAACCTCATATTGCTAATAGTTTCAAATTAAATATTACTGCGTCCAAGTGGTTGCATGTGTTGCTAATGTTAATATCTATGCATATTTTGACTTT